CCCCCGGGGGCCCCCAGGCCTCCTGCACACCCCCCACCCAGAGCCCTGTGAAGGAGGCTGGCGCGGAGGGGCGGGAGAGGGCGGTCCAGACGCCCTTCAGAGCGGCCTCAGGCTGTGAACCGGACGGCCGGGTCTGCGCGCGCCGGGCAGGGTACACCTTGAGGCTGCCCCTCTGAGTGTCGGGGAGCACGCGGGGTGGTCACCCGCGGGGCCTGGCCTCAGGGTAGCCACGTCTCTGCGTGTTCCCAGCCTGCACGCCCAGCGCTTCCAGCGGACCCCTCCCAGCGGACCAGGCTTGTGCTGAGTCTGAAGCCAGAAAGCCCCACGCTGAGGGACGGAGGCGCCTCCCTCTCCCACTGAACAAGAGGGAGCTCTGAAGGAGGCCATCCCGGCTCATCAGGACCCTAGAGAAAGAAAAAGGGGCCCAAAGCTGCTGCCTCTCCCGCCCCCCATTTCGCCTTCGAAGGAAGGAAGGAAGGAGCAAAGCCCCTCGGCAAGGATGACACTAAACACCCAGCAGGAAGCAAAGACCCCCCTGCACCGGCGAGCCAGCACTCCACTGCCCCTGTCCCCTCGGGGCCGCCAGCCCGGCCTCCTGAGCACAGCACCCTCCACTCAGTCCCAGCATCCCCCGCTGGGCCAGTCCGCTTCCCTCAACCCTCCCGCCCAGAAGCCTTCACCTGCCCCTGACGACTGGTCCTCTGAATCCAGCGACTCGGAAGGCTCCTGGGAGGCCCTCCACCGGGTGGTACTGCTCGGAGACCCCGGCGTGGGGAAGACCAGCCTGGCCAGCCTCTTTGCAGGGAAGCAGGATCGGGACCTCCATGAACAGCTGGGAGGTAGGGGTCGTGCGGGCTGGGCTGGGATGTGGCCAGAGGGGTAAAAGCCCTGTCACCAGGGGCACAGGGCTGCCAAGAACAGTTGCACCAGTCACGTACTGCTCAACTCTAAGGGACGGCATTCACACAAACTATGCAGTGAACGATGCCCTCGAGTTGTGCAGGCTGTGCAGTGTGGTCAAGGGTCAGGAAATTCCTTGAACAGAATGAGAATTTTGCCAATTTGTCATGGATAAGAGGTGTAGGATTCATTTCCATGTCGTCAGGGTAGCAATTTTGAATTCCATGGGTGTCAAGAAATGGTGGACTTCAACCCAGCTCAGAAATTCCCCAACTCCCCCGGCTCTCAGATCCTCCTAGTCCCATAGACACCCCCCCTTGGCCACCATGACCTACAGCAAAATTAAGATATTTCCCAGAATGTTCTAGACCCTGGGTTGCTTTATTCACAAGAAATGTGATGAGCTGAAAGGGTTGGGGACTCTGGGATAATGGGGAACAGGAACAGGACTGAAGAAATGAATGTAGGCCCCTGGAGTACTGACTAAGAGGACATAGAGTGAGTGGGCAGAGGGTGCTGGTTAAAAGCAGAGAGAAGGTAGGGATGCTGTCAGGCTCTTCTCCAGCTTTGACCGCCCCAGAGAGTGAGAACACATGTGTGTTACAGATGGGGAGACTGAGGGCAACATGACCTGCCTGAAGCATGCCATACGCCAGAGACAGAGCAGAACTAGGAGAGCTCCCAGCCCAACCCCACCACCCTCATTCAGCCAAGCAACTTTCTGGCACCTACTGTGTGCTACTATGTGCTGGCAGCTGGGGAGATACGGGCTCCTCGTGGAGCTTCTTGACCTAGCAGGAGAGACAGACATCAAACAAGTGTGGTGAGCACTGCCAAGGAGAAGCAGAGGGAGTGACATGGTCAGAAAGGGGGGCTAGGGAACCCCACGCCCTCCTCAGGCCTGCCCCTCCTCCCTGAGATCCAGCTCTCCCCTCAGCTGCGGAAGATGTGTATGAGAGGACCCTCACGGTGGATGGAGAGGACACCACACTGGTGGTCGTGGACACCTGGGAGGCTGAGAAACTGGTATGGCACTGCAAGCAGGATCGGGGGAGGGATGTGAGCCCAATACCAGACTCCTTTCTGTCCCCTCCGGGAAACTGCAGGACAGAGGCATGGCGGGGCCGTCCTCAGCATCCCCCCAAAGCCCACAGCTCCCAAGCAGCCTTTCCAACTAAAAGCAGAAGACCCTCATGACCTGGACCCTCTTCTCGCCCCCACTGACCCTCTTCCAGCAGGATGTGCTTCTCCCCTGCAGACCTCATTACTGCCACCCTCACCCACCCCACCCACTCACGCTGTGCAGAAGAAGTACTGGATTTGGCACCAAAATGCCTAAGGTTGAATCCCCTTTCTTTTTCTTACTTTTTGTGTAGCTTTGTGCAATTGATTTACCCACTCTGAGCTTTAGATTTCTCACTCATTCCTGCCTTCCTCATCCACTGGTTTTGTAAAGTTCTTAGGTAATTTCAAAGGTGTCTCATTTGGAACATGAAAAAAATGCTGAACAGGAATGAAGAGTCGTAAATGATAATTCTCTCTTTTTTGTTTTGAGTCAGAGTCTCACTCTGTTTCCCAGGCTGGAGGGCAGTGGCACGATCACAGCTCACCACAGCCTCGATCTCCTGGGCTCAGGTAATCCTTCCACCTCAGCCTCCTGGGCAACTGGAACTACAGGTGCTTACCACCATGCCTGGCTAATTTTTTTTTTTTTTTTAAGAGACAAGGTCTCGCAATGTTGCCCAGGCTGGTCTCAAACTCCTAGGCTCAAGCAATCCTCCCACCTCGGCCTCCCATAGTGCTGGGATTACAGGCATGAGCCACTGTGTGTAGCTGATAATTCATATTAATCTAACTTGGTAGCTAGTGAAAAAGACTAAAGAACCTTCCAGACCAGGAGGAGAGCAGCGGCAGGGACACGTCCTTATGATTTTCTTACCTTGTTTGGGCTTTCTTTTCTCTTACTACCTAGGTGATACAGGCTCATTGTAGAACTTTTAGACTACACCCAAGCAAAGAGAAGGGTCTAAATTCTGGGAGTCCCATCTCTCTAGGGGGCAGGCCCTGCCCCTAACACTCAGGAAAGCCCTGCCCACAGGGTGTGGCTTAGGGGATCAACGCTGGGTGAGTGACCAGAAAGGATGACAGCTCCCCTGACAAGCCCAAATAATAGGAATATGTGGCCAATTCTTTTTCACAAGAATAAAAGGAGAGTACCTGATCCTAAACCAGGGGAAGTGAAGACTGGTTAGAGACCCAAACTTCACCTGCACACAGACTACTTATGTACCTAATCCTGACTCGTACCCCACATCTCAATAATAAAATAAAGATTTTTTAAAAGCATAAAAGGAAACTCAGGTACACATGAGAACAACTGATTCTCATGATAGCAGCTGAGACGCCAGCCCCTATGCTGAGCACTGGACACATATTTTGAATTCAGTCAGAACTAAAACTATACAGCTTCTGATGTCCATTCTACTGAGGAAGTAGAGCTCAGAGAGGTTAAATATGTAACCAAAGCTCTCAGATGGCAAGTGAGATTCAAACCCAGATCTATGAAACCCCAGAGGCTGCACTCTTACACACTAGGACCGCCCCCCACCTTCTGAACCTTCAGCCGAGGTTTCCCTCCTTCACTCATTCATTCATTCATTCAGAAATACTTGGCTGTGTAGTCATCATGGTCCAGGTCAGGATGCTGAAGACATGCTGGTGCATAAGGCAGACATGTCCCCTGGCCTCTTGGAGCTTACAGGCTGGTGAGGGAGAGCCTACGTTTTGGATGCAGTTGAGAATATCCTATGAGGCAGTGTCCAGTGCATTCAGAAGAGTGATCAGACTGGGAGTCCCACTGGGAAGACCGGGGAGGAAGGGTATTGGACTGGGAGGCAGGAGCTGGAACTCTACATCCAGGTGCCATGGCCTCGAGAAAGTTTTCTCTTTTCTGGCCTTTGGTTTTCCTACCAGTAAAATGAAAGCGAATCCATTTCCCAGGTCGGTGATTCTGAAGGGAGGTCCCAAAGAGAGTCTGAGCAGTAGCAGCCTTCATGGAATAAGCATCCATCTTTCCATCCATGGGCTAGATGGTAGTGCCCTAGGTTGGCTAACTGCTAGCATCACGTGGAGAGTGTTAAAAGCAAAAATCTCAGACCACACCCCAGACCTAATGAATAAGAAGCTCTAAAAGTGGAACTCGAGAATCCATATTTTTAATCACATTCCCAATGAGTTCCTACCCAGCAATCCATGCACCCAGCCAATGTCTGTGATCCTAACAGACAGCAAACCCCCATAAAGATTTACACAGTGAATGGTCAAGACTCACCCTCTTATTCTGCAGATGGGGAAACAGAGCCAGAGGGAGAAAGGAACCTGGCACAGTAAGGAGCCCACATCTGACTGACTCCACCCTGAGTTAGTTGGCCTGAGGAATGATCAGTATGGCGGTTGAGAAGTTACCCCCTTTGACAGTGATGTTGACCATGGAGCTGATGCTTTCCTATTCATTTGTCTTATTTGGTTACCAGGAAAATGTTCTGGCTTCTTCTGCCACACTCCGGTCTTTCCTACCCCTTACTTCCGACAGTCCTCTGTGTTTGGAGTCTCTTTCCTCCTGCTTTGCCCGCCCATCATTTCATGCCCGCCCCATGCACCGGTCCACTGTGAAGCCCTTCAACACTCTGCCAGGTGGCGTTCTCCTAGGCGTCCCACCTCACCTCCAAGACTTCTCCAACCACTTGCGAGTGCTTCTTATTGTTACCTTTACAAAGCATTGCCACTTTCCATTTCCACATCCTCCCTTCCAGGCCATGGGTTTTTGGAGTGTGGAAACTGTCTTATAAAGTTATGATACAGTTATTACCTAGATGGCCCAGTCTCAGAGTGCTGTCCTTAACAAGATCACCCTCTAAAACAGAATATCAAAAGCACTCCTGTTCTTTCTTTTCCTTGGTCAAACAACTTGAAAGACTCCGCTTTTTTTTTTTTTTTTTTTTTTAAAGTTGGGGTTTCACTCTGTCACCCAGGCTGGAATGCAATGGCATGATCACAGCTCACCACAGCCTTGACCTTCTGGGCTCAGGCAATCCTGCCTCAGCCTTCCAAGTAGTTGGGACTACAGCCCCATGCCACCATGTCCGGCTAATGTTTTTATTTGGGGTAGAGATGAGGTCTTGCTATATTGCCCAGGCTGGTGTCCTGGACTCAAGCAATCCTCCCACCTCAGCCTTCCAAAGTGCTGGGATTACAAGCATGAGCCACCATGCCTGGTCAGGACTCACCTCTTAAAGTGCCTCCTGTCTCTCCCATCCCATGCCTTCTGAACTTACAGTTGAGTCACTTCAAAAACCGTCCTGCAAATGCCTCCCCCGAAGTCAGCCTCCTGTCCTCACTTCTCACTCTGCCTTTTTCTTCTCAATTCTGGATTGCTGAAGTCCTAAGGAACTTTGGGAAGACCAAATTCTCCTCAAAAAGCAGACAAAAGAGCTGGATAGACCAAGCCAGAACCCTTCTTAGCAAAAGCAAACAGGAACAAGATCCAAGTAAACCTTTTGCCTCCTATGCCCAGCCTGTGGAAGTATCAATGAATGAGAGAAGACAGGGAGGTAGTGTCATTAGCTCAATATTTCTTTTTTTTTTTTTTGAGCTGGAGTCTCACTCTGTCACCCAGACTGGAGTGCAGGCATGCTTCCAGCTACCGCAGCCTCAACCTGCTGGACTCCGGCGATCCTTCCGTCTCAGCCTTCCAAGTAGCTGGAACTACAGGCGTGCGCTACCACGCCCGGCTAGTTTTTTATTTATTGTAGAGATGAGGTCTCGCCAAGTTGCCCAGGTGGGTCTCGAACCTGTGAGCTCAGGCAGTCCACTCACCCTGGCCTCCCAGAGTGCTGGGATTACAGGCTGAGCCACCGAGCCTGGCCAGCTCAATATTTCAAGCAGAGAAACTGAGGCCCAGAGAGGATCAGTGGTGACACAGGGAACTATGGCAGAATCTGTCCCCCAAACCTGTCCAAAGTGTAAACGTCAGCCACATCTCATCTATTAAACCACCCCAGCCCTGCCTTTCTCAGCCAGGGTCTGGGCTCCCGCTGAGGATGGGCCTTGGGTCCACCCTTCACAGGATAACAGCTGGAGCCAGGAGTCATGCCTGCAGGTGGGCAGCGCCTATGTCATCGTGTACTCCATCGCAGACAGAGGCAGCTTCGAGAGCGCCTCTGAGCTCCGCATTCAGCTGCGGCGCACACATCAGGCAGATCATGTGCCCATCATCCTCGTGGGCAACAAGGCGGACCTGGCCCGCTGCCGGGAAGTCTCTGTGGAAGGTGAGCCCTCCGTTGCACCTCCTCCTCTTTCTCTGGGTCCGTTGTCATGGTTTCAGTGACTGCCCCCACCAACTCACTGGCAAGCTGCAGCCACTTGCCTAAGCCCGAAAGCCGTGACCAGTCTTCCCTCCCAAACCAGTCCCCCGTCCTGTCAAACCCACTTTCATTAATCCCCCACATCTTCTTCCCTCTGTGCCCACAGACTCTGTGCCCACCTGGCACCTTCACCTTAGTCAGCCCCCCACTTCTCATTCAGTCCTCCTCAACAGCTGCCAAAGTTTTCTAGAATCAGAACTGACTTTGTCACTTCTTTCCTTTAAAATTCCCCTATGGCTCCCCATGCCCTTAATCAGAGACACTTTATCACTGGACATGACAGGCCCAGTGCCTGCCTACAGGCTTTGCACAGGCTTACAATTTAGAACCGAAAAAGGCCCTGACTGGTTCCGAAGTACAGTGAAAAATTAGAAATTCAAATTTCACAAGGCTTTAATTGCAAAACATAATATTGTGTCAGCCAACAACTTCAAATCAAAACTTTAATGTTATATATAAATTATATTTACAATGGGATGGGAACTATTTTAATAAGTTTGACATACCAGATGGGACCCATAAAATGATCCTGTTCACAGAGTAAAAAAAATTTTTTTTTCTTTTTTTTTCTTTTTTTTGCGTTGGAATCTCACTCTGTCGCCCAGGCTGGAGTGCAGTGGCTGCTCCCGGCCACCGCAGCCTCGACCTGTTGGCCTCCAGCGATCCTTCCACCTCAGCCTTCCAAGTAGCTGGAACTACAGGCGCGCGCTACCACGAACGGCTAATTTTTTGATTTATTGTCGAGATGAGGTCTTGCCAAGTTGCCCAGGTGGGTCTCGAACCCGCGGGCTCAGGCAATCCACTCACCTCAGCCTCCCAAAGCGCTGGGCTTACAGGCTGAGCCACCCAGCCCGGCTAAATTTTTTAAATGTGGAAACTGAGACCCAGAGAGGGAAAGCCAGTTCCACACAGTCACTAGCCGTGAGGACTAGAACTCTGGCCCAGTAGCATCCTGGCGGCGAAAGACCATAAGCTTTGTGGACAGACGCTCCCCAAAACGGCAACATCACTCCCAAAATTTTGTTAAAACACAGATTCCCAGACCTCACCCCAGATCTACAGAATCAAAATACCTGAGGGTGGGCCCAGGCATCTGCATTTTAGCCAGTCCCTCCAGGTAATTCCGAGGTCCTTAACCTAGCATTCCGCCATCCCCTACCTGGTCCCGGCCCTCCTGTCTTCCCAGCCTCATTCGGCTACCAGGATCGGTCACTAGCCTGTACCCTAAGTCCTCAGAGCCAAATCTGCTGCATCTCTGAGTCCCCTGACACCTGCACCAGGTAAGGGCTCGGGAAGAGTTGCTTCCAGTCGAGACTGAACGCACCTCTCCCGGCCTTTGTCTCCGCCCCCCGCTGTGGCTCCTCCCCGGCCCGCCGGCCCCGCCCCTCAGAGGGTCGCGCCTGCGCCGTGGTGTTCGACTGCAAATTCATCGAGACGTCCGCCACCCTGCAGCATAACGTGGCCGAGCTC